AGATTTCAAGATCAGTTGCAACAAAACACTATTAAGAAATTCAAAACAAATATTCATCGTTCTAACAAAAGGTTTTTGTTAGGAAATTTTACTATGCAAACTAACCTTCTTTAGCTTATAACACTAATTCTAACATTAAAATAAACGAACTTTAAAGAATTTGTGCTGCAGGCATATAGTAAGTTAAATTCAGATTAATTCAGATTAATTCAGATTAATTCAGATTAAATTAGTTGATAGTTGATAATTCTATCTTATTAATTTCAATTTACAACTTAATTAAAGGCCGCTGGTGATGTTTTTAATTTCAATATTAATAGCACCAACTGGTGCTTTATTATTGTGCGAGGCTATTGGTTCTATACCTGGTAACGAAAGATTCAATGTGCGTAGTTTAATACTTTGGTTTTTAAATTCGCTTGTACTATATATATGTGAGTATCATTTAATGTTATAAAATTTTTATCAGAAAAAAATAGAGTATTCAAAACTTTGTTCATTATTGATCACAAATCGATTCGGACGAGTGTTAACACAGATAATAATATATGCAGCGATCGAAACGTTTATAATCACTTCAATTATTCTTTCAGCTCAACTATTAGATAATTTGTTGATAGACTTTTTAAAAATTTCTTGTGGAATTGCCATATATCCAGAACTCGATTGGATTTGTGTTGGAACTTTTGGCAATGAGAATGGTCCATTTGAAAATCGGTTGATGTTATTTACTATTGGTTTTATGGTAATGTAATTGCTTCAAATTATCATTTATAATCATATTTTGGCTAACACTATGTATGTACTGTACGTCATAATTTAGATGACAATATTAATCGTTACACCAATGGTATGGATGGAATTATCAAATAATGCTAAAATTCAGATAGGTGTGTAAAATATAATTTTCACTTTGCATATAATTCATTAACGTACAAACAAGTTTGTCACATTTTGAATTTTCTCGTAGTATCGTTTTTTATGATAATATTAGTTGTGATCACGTGGATCGTGACAATTGTATTGCACGGCTTGAATCCAGAGCGAATCCCCATAGTTGGACAAGGTCAAGATATGCTTATAAAAACTGTGTTGTATAATTACGCTTTTATCACTACTGTACCGAGTTTGGTCAACGAAATGGTTTGTTCACTCTTTTTTTTGTCATTTACACTGACATATGCTTATTAACTAATCGTGCTCAAATAATATAGAAGAAGGATATTTCAATTCGAAAAGTCGTATGGACTTCAGTCTTTATTACAACACTTTGCTATATCTCTTTAGGGATTATTGGTGCCATGTCCCTTCGAATGGAATTAACAACAAATCTAATAACATCAATCCGAAAATCAGAATTGCATAATCCCCTTGTTGAGATCATTAGCTATTTATTTCCAATCGCATTGCTTGCTGGCATACCGGTATATGCCATAGTTATACGCTATAATTTGACTCGATCTGGAATTTGTAAAGAAAGTATGTTTATTTAATCAATAAAAAAAAATTTATATTGTATCACTAATTCATTCATTATTATTTTATTTTTAGAAAACATTGCAATTTTTTTTACAGTTTTACCATGGATTTTAGCTATACCTTTTCAAACTGGTTATCTGTTAAATTTATTTACAAATTGGTCAATATTGATTTTTATTTGTTTCGCAAATTTTATAATTCCATTTTGGTTGTATATCTTGAGTAGAAAAAATGCAAAATTGATACCGTTGGTAACAATCACTCAGGCAAAAGAAGATAGTGCAAAAGGTATTTTCAAATGATAATTTCATTTCAATAATATTTATTAACTAACAATTTTATTATTAATATTATTTGTTTAGTATTAGTTGATGAAAAATCACAGATAGCCAAAAAATTAGACACACATTTCAATATCGAGAAAGCACAAGAAAAAATTATTGTAGAAAAACTACATGATCCAAAAATATACCGAATGTCAGCGGATGCAGTACCATTAAGCGACATTCCGGAGGATTTTACAGTTAATTCTGAATTTATAAATACTGCCAGATTAACAATACCTCCCATTAAAACAATGGATCCCGATTTATATTCTATATCATTACCCTCTCAACCTTCAACTCCACAACAACCTTCAACTCCAGGATCTGTTAGTCCCAATGATGATGAATTTTACGGTATATTTCCTGTTAAACCTTTCAAAGCATTTTTCCCCAACCTTGAAGTAGTGAAAAATTTAAATGAAGAAGGAACTATGGCTGAAAAAGATTTGTATAGCATTTGGATTGCCTGGACTGCCGGACTCGTTAGTTGTCTATTTATAGGATTTGCAATTGTCTATAGCTTTGTGGATTTATCATTTGGAATTAAAAAATAGTAATTTAGATTTAAAGATACTGCAATTTTTTTTTCTCGATGAAATTGATTGATTATATTTCATAGAAACTGAATTAGGATCAATGATATATTACTGTATGTTCGAATTAGAAATCATTCAATAATTGTATTTTATATCTCTTACAAATAAAATAATTCGGATTCAAATGAATCCGATTTAAAATTATGTATAATTTTATTTACTAGTAATTCTTTGAAGTTTAAAAATAATTTTATTGATAAAAAATAACCAGGAGAATTATTTGTTTTTAAAATCATTTGAAAAAAAAAATTACTTCACAAAAATATCCACTTTTCTTGTTCTTAGCTTCTTCATATAGTAGCATCCTACGTACAAATAAAATTGATATATGTGTTTTTATTAATTTTTTTTTCACAAGTGGACGCCCTCAGGAACTTGTGTTTTTATTTATTAAACTAGCACCATTATCTGACATTGAATCATCTTCTCATCTTAAGAATATGTATATCAAACAATACACAGATCTTAAAAAAGCTCGAAGAATATAAAGATTTTACCATGTATCCATAGAAATTATCAATGAACTAAGGTTAAAGTTGTTAAAATATAATTATTGAACATTAACCCGAATTTATGAAAGATAGTATAATAGATATAACCGATTAAAGAAAGTGTGTTAATAATATATATCTTTCAGAATTAATAAAAATAATCAAATAAATTAACTAATCTTGAACATATTATATTATAAATAATAATACCTTATTAAAAAAATACGAAAATAGAATTAACAATTGTTACGATCTATATACTACATAAAATATCGATTTTTTTTAATTTTCTCCTCAAGTTCATATTTCAAGGTTGTTGCTCCTAAAAGTCCTCACTCTGGCGCATCTGGTGAACCATTTTTCATGCGAGCGAAAAATAATCTAACTGAAGAATGTAAATTTCAAAGCATCGCAATGTTGTAGAAGTATGCCAGTTTTTTAGGTTATTTAGCAAACAACTTTAAAAAAATATTGCACGGTTTGAATAAGACTTTAAGTAAAAATTCAAAGATATAACTTTTTTATTTCGTGTATGTACGATAAAACTTGAATTTATGACGATATCCATCAGTTAAAATTAAGGGTCGACAAAATCTATCCCTTTAACGAATTTGTAGCGGTAGGTGAAATATTTAATATAGATAATCATCTCTAATCTTCGATATCTAATCTACAATATGCTTATTTTGAACAATAGTACGTAAATATTTTATTTCATTTAATCGTTGACGATAAGGAATACGTATCGGTATTGATTGTAGATCATTGCATTATTATCTTTCAATCAATATTCTTTGTCAAGTATAAATAAGTTCGATTTTTTCATATCCCGCAAAGTTCAAGTTCCTTCATGAACAAAAGAAAACACAAAGAAATAAATGATAATAAAAAAAACACTAAAACCCTTTTGGAATAAACGATGTGAAACCCTCTCTGATCAATCTTGGATTCCAACCGATTCTGATATCCAAGAAAAATGTACTCCATCCTATTCAGAGTCAGATATTCATTTTAGTTCTTGGTTCACAATATATAAGAAAAGAGATATAAGTGAAAAAAATATTTCATTTTTAAAAGATATTGAAAGAGAAAAAGAAATTATAAATATTTTAAAAAGATTTGGTGTTGAAAAACAAGTTGAAGTATTGAAAACCAGAAAGATTTGCATACGACCAACTGAAGAACAAAGAAATATTTTATTAAAATTGATGAACACATCGAGGTGGACTTACAATCAATGTGTGAAAGTTATTAAGGATGGAAGTTGTGAATTAAATCTTCAATCCTTATGAGAGAAAATTGAATAAAGAAAATTACAAAAATACCAAATTACAGTGAGTATTGGAGACTCCAGCGGCTATTCGTCGAGAAATTATATGGGAATTTTTCAAGAATTACAAGACATGCTTGAAAGTGTACAAGACCAAGAAGATTAAATTCGAAATGAAATTTCGTTCGAAGAAATCTTTCTCTTAAACTATTCCAATTGAACATAGAGAATTTAAGAGAAATTCAGGAGTTTTCTCATTTCTTAAAGATATCACTACTAGCGAACCTCTTCCAGAGATCAAACATGACTTTCAAATTACGAATAATAAACTTGGACATTGGTATTTCCTCGTTCAAATTCCAATTGAAAAAAGATCAAATAATGGTGCCGTTGCGTTAGATCCTGGTAAAAGTGTCGTGACTAAAGTTGGGATCCAATTAATGTTGGAACTTCGGTTGACTGAAGTTGGACCTGACTGAAATTAGCCCCTGAAATTAGATCATCCTGCACGCATTAGTTAGCTGTTTTAGGGAGGTCCTTAAAACCGGGTTAAAAAAAGTTACGTTTTTGATGTTTTTAGAGTTACTTTTTTTGATACAGTTAAGGTTAGTATGTTATTTATATATCAAGAATACAATTTATGCAGTATGTAGATCATTATATGA